AACTTTGTAAGGTCCAAGTAACATCTCCCATAAAGAAAATGAGCTCTGTAGATTAACTGAGGAAGCAAGCTCAAGATAAGGATCTGTGGAGCCAGTGTGCCTTCCTACACAGACAGTCAAAGGTCACCAGGCTACTCACCACATCTGTTCCCAACCTTCTGGGAGGAAAACAAGTTACACATCTCTCCCTTTGGAGAGAAAACCCTCTCTGTTTAATGTCCCTGGTTTCTGTGGTGCTTACCTGAGCACAGGGCCTACATTCCATGTACAATTTGTTCTATAAAGAAGTTGGATAAGCAAGCCATAGGGAGTAGCCAGGAAGCAGCACCCTCCACGGCCTCTGCAGCAGCTCCTGCCTCCAGGTTCCTACTCTGCTTGAGATCCTGTCCTGACTTCCTCCAACGATGAACATGGAAGTGTGAACCAAATAAACCCTTTCAGCTCCAGTTTGCTTTTGGTCAGTGTCATCACAGCAGTAGTGATAGTAAGTTATTATCATTTTAACTTGGATTTTCACAATCACATATCCTCATGTGGTTATTTGGAATCTACATACATTCTCTGATGAAATATCTGGGAAAGTTCTTGGCTATTTTTAAATGTACTTATTTATTTTTATATGTTGGATAATAGTCTTTCCTCATTCTGTGGCATTTTGGGCCTTTATGGAAGTTCAGTTTTAAAAACTTATAAGTATATATCTTTGTAAGCTTCTACTGTATTATTTCCATACAACCCCTTAAATGACCCTTGGGGAAAGGGAACAAAAGGAGGTGTAGGTGTTGGCCAACTAGGGACAGAGATGGGAGGGGGAACAGGTGGAAGGCGCTTGCTTAAAGGGGAAAGCTTGCCCATTCGTACATCCTCACGCAGCCACATAACGCAGGGCCCTTTGAGCCATCTAAGTATCTGCCTGAATGCTGGTGTGCTTATCCTGCCAGGTGTCAGGGGTGGGGGTCAGCTTAATGCCAGACTATCAACACAAAGAAACAATCTTGTGGTGCATTCAGGGAGGAATGCCAGCAGACTGTCACATCAATTTGTTGAACAGTTGGATTCTCTACCTGGGCAGTGGCTTAACAGTGGCTCCTCATAGTGTGGACCCAAAGGAGCACAGTCTTGTTAAAATCATGGGTAGTATGGGTTCCTTTATGATTTGCATTTTGCAAATGACAACAGGCTCCGAGAGAAGCAGCAGCTCCTGGGTGATCCTATGACTTTTTTCCCTTCCAGCCCTCTCAGCAATTTTGTCATCTAATTCTGTCCTTCTTGAAATACAACTAGCTTCCAGTTTCTTGATAAATTACATGATTATCTCACTTTCATAGAACCAGAAAATATGCAGGCTGGAAAAATTAGAGACCAGTGCTGACCTGAGTATTAGAAGGCCACTTATTTGGCTATAGCTCTTCACCTGAACCATTCTTAGTCTGTGGGCCAGAGCACAGTAGAAAGAAAGGGTAGGGAATTGACTGGGATTTACAGCCAAAAACCTAGAGACAAAGATTCAAAAGCAAAAAAGTATCTTTGCTATTTGGATTAATTCTTTCTGATGGTCATTTGGGTTGGTTAGGTATCATTTAGAGCCCAATATGAGGAAATGGCTGTGTATTTAAAGTTAAAAAATTTAAGAAATTAAGTTACAGTTTTCTACAATTCAAAATACCATTTAAATACCTAATATTTGCTTTCCTTTTGAGAATAATATGAGTGCTTAATACTTCTATGCCAATAAGAATGCCTTAAATAATTTCAATTTCGTTTTTGTTTTTTCAAGACAGGGTTTCTCTGTAGCTTTTGGAGGCTGTTCTGGAACTCACTGTGTAGACCAGGCTGGACTCAGATCCATCTGCCTCTGCCTCCTGAGTGCTGGGATTAAAGGTGTGCGCCATCACCTCCAGTCATAATCTGCTCTGAACAGTCAATTCTCTCCCTCCACCTTCCATAGGCTCCAGGGATTGGATGTCAGCCTTTCACGGCACTTGCTTTTAACCAGCCATTTTATCAGCTGCTTTTGCTTTTTTTTTTTTTTTTTTTTTTAAAAAAATGTTTCCCCTTTTTTTTTTTTTTTTTTTTTTTTTTTTTTAAATAAGATGTATCCACTTTATTTTTATGTGTATTAATGTTTTGCCTGAATGTATGTATGTATGCATGCATGCATGCACGCATTATTTGCACCACTGGCACGCCTGGTACCCAAGGAGGTCAGGAAATCAGACCCACTGGAACAGTAGCTAATGTTGGCTGTGAACCACCATGTGAGTGCTGGGAATGAATGGAGGTTCTCTGCCAAAGCAATCAGGGCTTTTAACTGCTGAGCTACCTCTCCAGCTCACTTTTGCTTTTATTTTCCTCTTACATGATGGTAAATAACAAAGACCTGCTTTAGAAGTATAATTCACTTATTTATAATTTAGGTATTTTGAGAAATACTCTTAGGCTGCTAAACCATTACAGGACAACTAATTACTAAAGTATACTTTAAATGGTACCTAAGTATAAGCACTCTGCAAACCATATGACAATACATATTAAACTGAAATATGCACAAGTTGTGTTCAGTACTTCCATTCCTAGATATACTCAATGGTAGTGTACGGAAGTCACCAAAAGACAAGAATGTTCTCCACAGCACTATTTTTAATTGATTAGAATTACAAACTGGACTGCCCTAACATAAATTCTGTAAGACCTTTATTTTTTTTAAATGGAAAAATACTGTATAGCAATTTAAGAATGAAACAACTAAGCCGGGCGTTGGTGGCGCGTACGCCTTTAATCCCAGCACTCAGGAGGCAGAGGCAGGTGGATCTCTGTGAGTTCGAGACCAGCCTGGTCTACAAGAGCTAGTTCCAGGACAGCCTCCAAGGCTACAGAGAAACCCTGTCTCGAAAAGACCAAAAAAAAAAAAAGAATGAAACAACTACATCAACAATATGGGTAAATTTTTACTTTGAGAGGTTGAACAAGGACATCCCAGGTCCTCATCTCTAGAACCTTGAATATCGCTTTATCTGGGAAACAAGACTTTAAATATGTAATTAAATGACCTTGTGACTGGAAAATCACCTTGGAATATACAGAGGTAGAGGAAGATCTGACTATAAAAAGAAAACAGTGTGGTGACAAAAAACGGGCTTTTGACATGGAAGAAGGTAAAGCATAAGGAAGCCAGTAGAAGGTGGTAAGGCATCAAATCTAACCCTGAGGAAGGAACCAGTCCTGCAGACTCCGTCATTTGGGATAATGAAACTGACTAAGATTTCAGATCTGTAGGATTGTAACAGAATAAATATGTGTTGTTTTAAGTCATTAAGTACTTGTTACAGATAAAAGGTTACAATCACAAAAATGGAAAACAAAAAAGAGATTATATATGGCTGCATTCACCTAGAATTTTTTTTCAAGGCAAAAATAATTTATAGCTCTGAAAAGGAGAGGACTGTTGAGAGCCAGGCAGGGTGGTACATGTCCTTAATCCCAGCAGTTGAGGGGCAGATGCAAATAGGCCTTTTGTAAGTGCAAGTCCACCCTGGGCTATACAGTGAGGCCATGTCTAAAAAGAAAAGAAAAAGAAAGCTGTGGGGCTAGAGAGGTGGCTGCTCTCCCAGAGGGCCTGGATTTGATTCCTAGCATCCACATGGTGTCTCACAACTTTCTGTAACTGTTCTAAGGATCCAGAAACAAGTGTGACACAGACATACCTGTAGGGAAATCACCTATACAAACACATTAAAAAAGAGGGCCTGGGTGGTGGCACACACCTTTAATCCCAGCACTAGGGAGACAGAGGCAGAGAGATCTCTGTGAGTTCGAAGCCAGCCTGATCTACAAAGCCACACAGAGAAACCTTGCCTCTAAAAACCAAATAATAATAATAATAATAAAATAAAATGAAATAAAAAAGAGAGAGACAGACAGGAACAAGAACTTTGAAGGTATTCATAATGTCCTGTTCTTATCTGAAGACTATGTTTGGTTTGCAAAACTTTAATCTGTGCCCTCTCCTGTATATATGGTATACAAAGTTTTAGAAATAGGTTCCCTGTTGGCTATATGTGGTGGTACACATGTACAACCCTGAAACTTGGAAAGCAGATTGCCACTCTCAGGACAGCCAGACCTGCAGAGCAAGATCTTGTCTTAAAAAAAAAAAAAAAAAGTACTTTTTAATATAACAATTTTACAGCCTGTTGGAAAAATATGTATTGTGATGGGAAAATATTTATTAAGTAACTTTATACCTCAAAAAGTAGGGATTTACCTGGGCGTTGGTGGCGCACACACTCGGGAGGCAGAGGCAGGCGGATCTCTGTGAGTTTGAGACCAGCCTGGTCTACAAAAGCTAGTTCCAGGGCAGCCTCCATAGCCACAGAGAAACCCTGTCTCGAAAAAACAAAAAAAACACAAAAACCAAAAACCAAAACAAAACAAAAAGTAGGGATTTTATTTCCTAAGACTAACCCATTCTCATGACTAGAGAAACAAATAACTCTGACTTTTAAATGCTAAAACAAGGTGCTGCTTAATGTGCTCTGTTGTGCCTCTATCTGGACACTACAAAAAGAAGGTAAACTATGTTTTCTGAAACAGCAGTAATGAGAAAGGGGTACTACATACTAAATAACCAATCAATGTCAAAAGTATCGAAAAGGGTAACAGAGACTGTCCCATAATTATTAAATACAAAAACAATTTATAAAACACATCAGAATTTTATTGCTTGGAGAATACAGCATATGAAATCACAAGAACATCAAAATGAAAAGTCACTAGGCTTCAAACACAGAATACATTACCCGATGCAGTAAAATATTAATTAACCTGAAGTCTGCATCAGAAAGAAAAATGTATGGAAGAAAGCCTAAGTTGTTTACTTGAGAAACATACACTTAAAACAAAGAAAAAGACTGTTACAGTACAAATAAAAAAAGCCAACAGTGACTAACTTATTTTTGTAGACTAAACTACCTACCTACCTTTGGTACTTAACCTTTTTGAAAAAAGAAAAAAAGATTCCTTCTATTTTTTCCAAACACTTCATTTCATGGGCATATCCATGAAATACCTTAAATAACTTCAACATAAAGCATTCAGAAAAATTACTACCCTTTTACTACCTTTTCTGTTATACTGGGGAAGTATATCTATCTGATAAATGCATAACAATATTTCCCTTTTTCTAAAAATGAAAAATATGAATATTAAGAAATCTAATACTTATAAACTTTACTTAGCTCTCCAAATAAAATTAAAATCCTGGCAGCTAGAATCTCTTGGGGCTTGGTGAATACAGAAGTTTAAATGACTTGGCAACTGACACAGGAACTTAATGACTTCCTATTACCTTAGGTGGCATTTACACAATTTCTGCAATTACATTGGAACCCTCTCACAAACACTACCATACTTTAGTCACTGAAGCCAAATTAAAGCTGCTCACTTTTAACAGCAAGTTAACACTTCATATAGGGCTGGTCAGTTATGACACTTTTTAATCAAACACAAAACTTTTAAAGCTATCACTCAATTATGATGATGGGGACAATGATGTCATATCAAAAGTTAGCACTGGGCTCTTTAGGCCACCTAGTCAAGAAAATGTAAATGTTATGCTAAAACCAAACAATAAGTAAACTACATGTTAAATAATATTTTTAAAGCCCTCTTTCATAGCAATCATATTCATTAGCTTTCATTTATTTCCCTTAGCAAAGGTCTGAATATCCATGAGCCTCAGTTAAACCAACGGAACCCAAGCAACTGTTTCACAAGTCCTACCTATATACTCAAACGACATAAACATGAATGACTGAAGCAAGTAATACTATGAACAATTTTACTGAACTGGAGTGAAATAGTAAGAATCATGACAATCTTCAAGATTAGCCAGTCTCTGAAATGGCATAGTGTAGATAAATTATACTATAATAAAACTAGTTTTTACTGATACACAAAAGAGTAACAAAATCAAAAACATAACTCATCAAATTTATACAACTACCAGTGAATACATTTCCTTCTTAGTTTTTGAATGTCTTCTTTGAGTTTTTCTCTTAGCAAGTATATTTATTTATCTGAGCATATATAATTGTTGCCTGCATATACACTCAGTTTAAAAGACAAAAACATTTAAGTACTATACAGAACTGAACTTTTTCCACCAACCTGATTCAAAGTATTCTGCCTCACACCATGCCTCATCTCAATATAAAATTCTCAGTTTTAGTTCAGTTAAAAGGGCAGAGAAGATGCAAATACAGATGAAGAGATCTGTGTAAATGTCACTGTATTTTTATAACCTGATGCTTTCTGTAATACTGTTCACTGACCAAATAAAGGGTTCACACTGCTCTTCGATTCCAGAAACACCATTACAAATTCAAAGCTGATCTTACACTGAACCTCAAATTTTCAATAGTTCAAAGAGACAGTTTTACAAGTATAGCAGAGTAGTTGAAACCTGAACAGCAGACGACTCTAGAATACCAATGGTAAGTCCACCGAGATGCATATACAGTTACAGAGAAGCACTTCTTTCACTGTTTTCTTACAGAGGAAACAAAAGCCAAGATGGTGAATTTCAGATGTCGTCATCATCTTCTTCGTCTTGAGAAGACCCTGCCTGATTGGATGCACTGGCTGAGGCTGCAGCCAGCTGGGCTTGTTGGGCGGCTTGCTGCATTTGAAGCCATTCCTGCTGAGCCAATTCTGCTTGCTGCTGTCTAGCCTAAGAATTAAAAACACAAAGAAGCAAGTGTACACATTGTGGTTAAGTGTAACTAACAGACTTACTATCAAATGTAGATATTTTCCAAGTACTCTTTAACTATGACATATCTAGAAAACAAGAACTCTTAATATTTTTAGTTCAGTTGAAGAAACTGAAAAGGTAAACAGAGGGACTGGAGAGATGGCTCAGCAGTTAAAAGCACATGCTGCTCTTCAGAGGATCTGGGTTTAATTCTTAGCACCCACATGGCAGCTCACACTATCTGTTAAAACTCCAGTTCCAAGGACTCCAACATCCTCTTCTGGACTCTGCAAGCAATGCACACATGTGCTACATAGACTTGCATGCAGGCAAAACACTCATGCACATAATATAAAAATAAATATGTATTTTTAAAAAAGGTTGATAGAGCCAGGCAGTAGAACATGCCTTTAGTCCCAGCACTTGGGAGGCACAGGCAGGCAGATGTGAGTTCAAAGCCAACCTGGTCTACAGAGAGAGTTTGAGGACAGCCAGGGCTACCAAAAAAAAAAAAAAATTGCTGGGGGGGGGGTAACATTAGTAACTCTTTGGCTCTTCTTGCTGTGTTTTTCTTTTCTGTCCATTCAATTATAATTTTAATATGAACATAATTATGGCTTAAAAGGTCTCCAGTACAATTAGGAAATAGCAAATACAACAGCTACCCTGATATTTTCTTCTGAGTTCCTATTATAATTCTATACCCTCATGGTGCAAAAGAAATCCCAGAGCATAAAATGTTTCTCAAATGTATGCTATACTTTTACATTTTATTGTCTTTCTTTATACTTAGTCTACTTGGAATTTCCTAATTTTCACTTACTAATATATAAATATTTAAAGTCAAACTGAAATACCATTTTCTCCTTCCTGCATGAGTCAAGGTGTTTTCAGGAGAGAGAATTAACACTAGTTCTAAGAACTAATTTAAAGAAGAAAAAAGACTGTTAACCAAACATAAAACTGATAACAAGCAACTGAAAAAGCAAAAGGACACTAAGACACTAGGAAGCAACTGAAAAAGCAAAAGGACACTAAGACACTAGGTGATGTCAACTACAAGCAGCAGTCACCAGTCTAATTTGGGAACAAAAGAAGAGTGTGGAACAATGAAAACTTGTCTAAGGAACAATCAAGTGGCACCAAACTCAGATCTCCGAAGAACAGGTATATTTGCTAAAGTATGAAAGCACAAGAGAGAATTAAATGAGCTAATATATACAAATTGCTTGGTAATATCATTAACAAATGGTTAGAACTCAGTAAATATTGGAAACATTTTTATTAGTTTAAGATTTTGTCATTTTATTTATGTATGTGTGTGGATCTGTAGGGGATAGGTGCATATGAGTACTGGCACCCTCAAAGGGCAAAGGTGTTGGATCTTCTCGGAGCCTCCCAATGTTGAGTGCTGGGAACTGAATTCAGGTCCTCTGGAAGAGCAGTATGCATTCTTAACTAGAACTCTTTCTAGCCCCTATTATTAAACAGTACTTGTATCTTGTGCTTAATGTTTAAGGCTCAAATGCAGTGACACTTGGTGGTACAATTCCTATTAAATTCAAAACCAGCTTTACAGATTGATACCTTGCTACAAAGAAAATGTTACCAGATTTTCCTTGTATTCCACTCAATAAAATCTAGTAGCAGCTGGGTGGTGGTGGCACAAGCCTTTTAACCTCAGCACTCAGAAGGCAGAGGAAGGTGAGGCCAACCTGGTCTACAGATTGAGTTCCAGGA